TATATTCATTGATAACATTCAAGTTAAAAGAGTAAAGACTACTCAGTTTTCAGGAATATATATTGATGAAAATCTTACATAGAGACAACACATCGAAAATTTAAGCAACAAAATTTCAAAAAGTATTGGAATATTATACAAATTAAAAAGCTATTTAAACATGCGCACTATAATGCAACTATATTATTCACTTATTCACTGCCATGTTAACTATGCAAACATTGGGTGGGGCAGTACTAACAAAAGTAAACTAGAGCCTCTTCTTCGTCATCAGAAACATATAGCACGTTTAGTTAATTCTTGTGATCAACGAACTCATTCAAAGCCTCTCTTAAAAAAAATTAAACATATATCAACGTATAAAATATTCTTTGTTTTATGTACAAACGCAAAACGAAACGAATCTCCTTCTCCTTTTCATAGTTTATTTATAACAAAACAAAAAAATAAATAAGATCTACGAAATGTTGGTTTTTTGATGCAATCATTTTCGAAAACTAATCATTGTAAATTTTGCATATTATTTCGGGGACCGTATCTTTGGAACAAAACAGTCTTAAATAACTTTGATTTTTTTTTTGAATGAATTTACATATCTTTTAAGAAAAAGTTGAAAGAAGTAGTTTTTGAAATTATATATACAAATGCACTTTTAAAACCTTTTGAAATTCTTTTTATCTATTATTTATATCGGTTTATATGATTTGTAACATATGATTTTTCCTGATATGATTTGTAACTCAATTATTTACGATCTGTAAGTCTATATATATATATATATATTATATATATATATATATATATATATATATATATATATATATATATATATATATATACATATATGTTTTAATTTTTTTTTTTGTAAATTTATTTGCCTTCAATAAAAAAAATTAAAATTACAGAATAGCTTTATTACAAATATAATCAGCAGGACTTCCAGAAGATCATACGATCTTATCATGAAACCCTTTACAATATCAAATATAATAATAATAACAATAAAATCAAATTAAGCAATAAAAACCAACATAAACTATATATAACTGTGCATTTAAAATATAAATATACTGGATAAATTATATGAAATATGTGAAGCAAAAAACTAAAAACAAGAAAAAATATTTTCTGCTGAAAACATAACTTCTTTTAATTTTCGTTTGAAAGTCCATTTCAATGACAAATCAAAATTTGGAAAAAATATTTTATTCCATAAAGAAGGACCGCGATAAGAAATAATTAGTTGTTCAAATTTAGTTTGGCAGAAAGGTTGTTGTAGATTTTTTCCATTGCGAAGATTGTATTTGTTTATGGGTTTTACATTATAAAGGTTTATAAATACATCAGGAGATAAACGATTTTTACATTTAAACATGAAACATAAAATATTATAAACATTTAGTTCGTATACGTTTAAGGTTTTCATTTCTCTTAGAAGTGGTTTTGAGTTTGAAAAACAATTTTCAAAATTAGTTAAGCGAGCTGCGTGTTTCTGATGCTGATAAAGAGATTTAAGTTTAGTTTTGTGCGCGCTTCCCCATACAATATTTGCATAATTTAAATGGCAGTGGATAAACGAATAATATAGTTGTTTTAATTGTTGTTTATTTAAAATATGTCGAGCTTTATATATAATTCCAATACTTTTAGCATATTGCTATTACATTATCTGTCAAATTATTTTTAAGATATTTTTTGTGAACTTTTTATTTTTTTGTAGTTTTTTTAATTTAAATCTTGTTATTCTTTTATTATTGCATAACACTAATTTTTTTATTTACTACGTAAAATATTTAACTTGTAAAAATGTAACAACGTCTTTTTTCAGCGGTACTCGACGACAAGACCTAACGGTCTTCTGCGAGTTTCCGCGTTCTTTTTATACATATATTAAATATCTTTCCATGTAATTGTTTATATTTTTTAATTTTAGCTTGTAAATTTTATGAAATATTAACGTGATGTTTTAAAATGTAATAAAGAACAAAAAAAAAAAAAAAAAAATTATGAAAATAATGTAAAGAAAAGATCAAAATTTGAAACACATTTATAAACTGGCTTTGTAATAACGAGGTAAGTTTATAACATTTAATACTTTTATTTTGAACAAAAAGTGTCAGATAAGTTAGGGAACCTACGAGAACCTATATCGAAAGCTTGAGATAGTAAATGTAACATGTCTATGACCTATTAGAACTATATACATTGCCCCTAATTTGCCCTTTTGAGTTTATTTTACATTTTAAAAGTACGAGTTTTAGTTGCTTGAAATCGAAATTCTTATTTAAAACGTCATGTTTTTTATTTATCCAAACAAAAACACATGTTATTTTATTTCCAATATTATTCAATCCACATTGTACTGTTTGAATAATACTTTTTTTGTTTTTAATTTTAGTTATAATATGAAAATTGGTGATAACACTTATAAACAAACTAATGCCTAATAATAAATAATTTTTTTCATCTGTATTAACTCTCCTAGCTTCAGAAGATATTAAATTAAAGATTGTGAGTGTAAAAACTATACAAAAGTATATCGTAAAAAGTGGATAGCTGCAAATAATGATATCAGTCATTTTAATATAAGAAATGAATACAATAGGCTAGATTCTATAGTTAAAGAAGTTGGAAGACCCTGTTGCTTATTTGAAAAATGAAGGTCTAGCATTGATTGTAGATGGTGGTATATAAAAATTGACATACCAGCTTTTACGAAATGGCTTTGTAGAAAAGGCTGACCATGTATCCTTTATATAATGATATACGATTTTCAAAAGCTAAATTCTATCCCAAAAACATTTATGCGGATGAGCATACAGTAAACATACCGCAAAAAGACCTTCTGATGCACACTCTTGAAAGACAGTGTGACGTACAAGCTCCTGTGCTAATCATAATGTTAGAGGAACTAACTAAACTGAAATTTAGATGCATGGCTGAGTTTGATGGTGCTACAGGGTAAATTGTTAACAAGCAAGTTAACCGTAATGAAAACATTAAAAGAAATCTGAAGAATAAGGAGTGTTTATTTATTACTTGCATAGTAACATTAGAGCTCAGTGGATTTTATAATAATAAAAACGTAGTAGTGTGGAGAAACGAAAAGCTATTATCAACTGCATATTGTCAACCAGTAAAATTTTCATTTTAAAAGGAAACTAAGAATTTTGTGGAAGAAGAAAAAAAAACTATTGATTCCAAAATTGAGAAATGTAATATTATAAACATTATTTTTGCTGGGAAAAGAAATAGCTGTAAAGTGTTATATAGAGCTGACCATGATAGATGGTAAAATTCAATCAATATTATCAACTATGGCAAACTTAACACAGTATTATCTAGTTTGTCGTTTATCTCCCAAAAACATGAGTAACTTGGAGAGTGTTGAATTTAGAAACCGATCATTTAGAGTTTTAATATGGTTTATCTAGCCTACACGCTAATATAAACTTTTTTGAGCTAATACTGCATATTGGATATAAAAAAGGAAAATGGCAGGCTATAACCGTAGCTGCTAAAATATCGGTAGAGCAAATAAAATGCCGAATTCAGACCAATTTTATGAACCAATTGGGATTGGTTGTTGATTTTTCCAAAAGTGGATGATCGGGTAAATCAAATTTTATATTATATGAATTATACATTATTTATATAATGTTTTAAAATATAATATACAATTTTTAAAATTTTCAGGACCTAGTAACAATGGAAATACTGCCCAAAAAACTTTTGCCAACTATAAATCAACTATCGAAAGAGATATCGAAAGTTGATGAAACCTTTATATATTATTTTTATATTAATTTAGTCACTTTTCATCGGGATATGAAATAGATATTACAATCAATAAACAATCAATAACTCGATTTTTTCAAAAGGTGGAGAACAAAATAATTCTAAATTGCGGTATGTCAAAATCTGTCCACTTTTGTTCAATTTTGTTCATGGTCATGCCGATTTGCAAGACAATTTCTAACATTCGGAATAATGTCAGAAAATGCCCTTGAGGCACGAAATAAAAATTTCAAGAACTTTCGAGAACAAACCAAGATTCGATTAAAGGCTTCGTGAATCCAGTGATCCCGTTATGACATCTCTTTGAAAACTAAAGTTAAAAAACAATCAAAATTTGCATAAATTTCCCAGTAAAGTTCTAGAATTGGTGAGAGAATCAGCTCTCTAATTTGACGATTTGTAATATATAAATTAGTACAAGTTTTGTTTTATCTTTTCTTCGCATTTTTCAAAATCATAATCATTTTTGGTATAAAAAAACTAAAAATGATGTCATTTAGGACGGATGGGCAATTGGTTTTAAAATTAAAATATAATACTTTAGAATATAATTGCTCTTCACGTCATAAATAAATTATAATTGTTCTTTAGACTTCACATCATAAATAATTTTTATATTTAAAACGAAACGAGCATTTATTTTATGAGAACTTGAACTCAAATTTAAAAAATTATAAACCCGCGTTTTTGAAGTTTGATGAATTATTTTCTGTTTATGTAATAATTAAACTAAAATTTATAATGAAAGTAAAAATTTATTAACTTAATGTAGTTTTATTTGGACATTAAAAGATCTTTAGTAAAAAAAATAAATATATGAAAATAATTTTGTCCACCATAAGTCTAATATCCGGCCCACTCTGCGATGGCTGCAAAATCAAAGGTTCAAAAGGCTCCGGTATTTTTTGAAAAAAAAACGAAGAAAAGTATATATATATATATATATATATATATATATATATATATATATATATATATATATATATATATATATATATATATATATATATATATATATATATATATATATATATATATATATATATATATATATATATATATATATATATATATATATATGTATATATATATATATATATATATATATATATATATATATATATATATATATATATATGTACATATATATATATATATATATATATATATTGCATTCTATATAATAATAGAAGTTGTCAATCTAATAAAAATAGATTTTATTTAACAGACTGTTAAAACAGTGAACTATTTAAACATATTATAATAAAATTTTGTCATAAAAAACTTAAAGTTTTCTTAATCTTGCTAATTTATAAAAGCGCATATTCTTAAACCAATTTGTAAATTGAACGTCTTCCATTGAAATATCTTTACACAAGTTTTCTCCGGATTTACGTTCATAATTGGCAAGTAAACGTTTTGATGTTTCTGTAACTTTGTAAAAATTACAAAAACTTTGTAAATCAGTATTCCATTCTTTTAGCTTTTTGACGTCTTCGTCAAAGCCCGGAGGACTAGTCTTTATTTTCATCCAAAAGGTTTCGTTAAAGTGTTTATAAATTGCTGCGTCAAGCTTGTTCCAATTTAAAACTTTTTTAGTTGCGTCATTTATGTCATTAGTGTTTTTGTCTTTCAACTTTCGTGCATTGTGAACATAAAACACAACGTCTTCTAACTCCCAACTAAATTCATTCTTCAACATCACTAGAGATTCTTCCATGTATTCCATAATCATAACGAGATGAATGTTTTGTGAAATAGAATGTAAAACTTTATTTATATATTCGGGTGTTTCATTCCATATATCAAAACCTAGATCAAATGCGTTTGGGTTTTTAGCTAAAGCAAAGACACCTCCTGCAGACTTTAGATCTATAGATTGAAGAAATTGTTTTAAAGAAAATTCTGGAATTTTAAAAAACTCATCTAATAAAGGCAAGTTTTCACTAAGGTTAAAATATTTTTTGTACTCCAAATACTGAGCTGCAGAATCGAACTGCGAGTAAGGATCTCTTATTATTGTGATTATTTTAGTGTCTGGGTTCATGATTTTTAACATTTTTTCTTTGTCAAAAACAGCATGATTGAATAGCATGTTGTATATTTCATCTTTTTTGTGTAAAAATAAAAAATTTTCATCAAATTTTTCAGGATAACAAAATCGATGGTCACATTGAGGCAAAGCAACATTTAGTTTATTTGACTTTGAATATCTTTGCATAATATTGGTTATAGTGGAAGAACCTGTTTTATGTGTTTTAAGAAAAATCACATTGCTTTGAATCTTTTTTGAAATATTCACCCTAAAGATAAAGAAAAAAATATATATAAAGGCTATTTAATATATTTTCAAAAATATTAAGAAAAAAATATTATCTTATTTTTCTTCTATATTGCCGCGTAAGTTTATACCCTGTAATGTGAATATATATTCGAACTCCTATAATTTGAAAGATCATATAAGTCTAACGAATTCTTTGGTCTCTTACTAATGGTTTAATATAATAATAAGATTGAATGCCTATTATTATTATTATTATTATTATTATTATTATTATTATTATTATTATTATTATTATTATTGTTATATTGAATTATTATTTATTAATAATAAATAATAAGATTGACCTCCTATAATTCAAAAACTCTTGTAATTTGAACATATTTTGAGACCCTTGAAGATTCGAATTGCACGAGTTCAACCGTATAAAGTAAATTAAGAGCAGGAGAGAAAGGGGGTACCATGATACACTTGTGGTTTTTGTTTCGTAACAATTTTTTTTAATTTGCTTTTTTTTTAGGCAATTGGTTTAAATTGTAGAATAAATTTATACCTACAAAATTAAATTTAATATTTACCAAAACATAACAGAATAAACTTGTGAGACAATTTAAATTAAAATTAGAAATTTGTATCAAGGTACCCAACCCTTGTACCCTTGTACCCAACCCCTTGGAGTACCTTGTACCCAACCCCTTGGAGTACCTTGTACCCAACCCCTTGGAGTACCTTGATACAAACTAAGAGCATCATAAAAAAAATATATAAAAAGTAGAAAACTTAGAGAAAAGGCAGAATTTTATTTAAGACGAAGGAATTATTAATTTTAAACAAAAAAGTGCATCCAATGGTCTAAAATGGCCCGAATCACATTTCCGAAATCCAAACAGTATATTGTTTTAAATGTTGATCTGAGGCGTCAATAAATAACAGTTTTGTATCGAAATTAAATCTCCTAGTATTACATTTACATTAATCGTTTAAAAATTGACTGTTAATGTTAAACAAAATGGAGTTTAGAACTGTCTATGACACGATGGAGTACTATTCTAGAATTTTAGCACGCACGCATACACAGACACACAGACAGACACACAGACACACGCACACGCACGCACACGCACACAAATGCTGTATCAAGCTACCCCGTTCATACTAATAAAAAACAATCATCTTATTTTTAGTAACAGCTTATTTTATTAATAATTTTGTATAATAAAGTAAAAAACTTATGGGTTGCAGTTTACAAAATAATGTTACTTACCGTTAGACATATTGAATAACATACCTTAAAACTAAGGGACTTTAAAAAATAATTGGTTACCTTCTCGTCAAAAAAACACAAAATTCGACCCGTCGCAGGCAATGATATCAAATGATAAAATTTATTTTCAAAACTTAGTTTTAGTAGTAGCTGTTTACCAAATGAAAGTGTTTTTCAAAACTCTTAAGATGCCTTGAATATTACAATGTTTCATGTTGCCCCATGTATCATGATTCCTCATTCTCTCCTAGTTAAATGGCCGTGTCTAATTTATTGATAAGCTTAAAGTAATTTAAATATAATTTTAACTTATTGAAATTTTTTTTTAGGTTAACAAAAGATAAACATTTACCATTTAACTTTTTAAATTTAAAAGATAAACATTTACCATTTAACATTTAAAGACAAACATTTAGGTACTTTAAGTATAAAAAAACTTAATTAACCTTAAATTTTTTGTTTAATATTTTATTTTTATTATTTATTATTATTTGAATTTTTTTTAGTTCAAATTCAAAGTTAATATTGGGAAAGAGATTTTTAGAGCTGGTGCGTATAGGTACGGTATTAGTCTTGTATTAGTCTTCTTTTCTTTTTTATATACTTACATATATTGTAAAGGCTTTTGGGGCTTAGTGATAATACTAAGTTTGTCTTTTTCGAGCCCTTGTCATTAAATTATTTGTTTTTATAAGTTAGGATAAAAAAATATGGTCCATCCTTAATGTAATAATGGGAAGAAAAAAACTAAATTCACCTCCACTACCTAAACGAATTGTTATTGAAAATAACGATATATTTTGTCAAAAAACTCATCTCGGATAAAATCAATAAATATTTTATTAGTATTGGTCCGAACCTTGTCAAAAAAATAATACCAACACCTGAATCTTTTAAAAACTATCTTAAACCCACGAATAACGTTATAATGCATGATTACGAATTTGAACTAAAAAAAGCTATTACGAATTCGAGGCAGCTTTTGCCTCTTTGAAAAAAAAAAGCACCAGGATTTGATGAGATACCTAGTGATATAATTATTGCAAACAAACACAGTCTTAATAGACCTCTGATACATGTACTAAAGCTCTCGTTAAATTCTGGTATTTTTCCGGATGTACTTAAATTAGCAAAAATAACTCCTTTATACAAATGTAATGATCATTCTGACATTACAAACTACAGACCCATATCAATACTTTTTGTATTTTCAAAACTCTTCGAACGTGTAGTTTATAATAGAATCTATGATTACTTTATTAAGAACAATTTTTTTTACCCAAATCAATTTGGCTTTCAAAAAAATCTTTTACCTGAGCATGCAATTATTGAAATAGTAAATCAAATAACTAATGGTTTTGCAAATAATAAGTTTACTTTAGGAGTATTTCTTGATTTATCAAAAGCATTTGATACAGTGGATCATTGCATTCTCTTAGATAAAATAAGACATTGCGGAATAGTTAATAAAACCTAATATTGGATTAAAAGCTATCTTAGCAACAGAAAATAATATGTACATAATGTCCATTCTGGAGTATTAAATGTTTTATGTGGAGTTCCGCAGTGATCAATTCTTGGTCCACTCCTTTTTCTTATATATATATAAATGACTTCTGTAATGCATCCTTAAAACTGAATTCAGTCATGTTTGCAGATGACACGAATCTATTTCTTACCAAAAATGATATCAAAACATTATATGCTGACATGAATATAGAACTAGTTAAAGTAAACAACTGGTTTAAAGCTAACAAACTCTCGCTTAATGCTGAGAAAACAAATTATATGCTATTCCATAAAAAAATACAAGAGGAAAATCTTCCTCTCAAATTGCCTAAACTATTCCTAAATGATAAACTAATTAAAAAGCAATCCAATATAAAATTCTTAGGAATCATTTTTGATAAAAATTTATCCTGGCTTTCTCATATAATATACATCCAGTCAAAAATCACCAAAATCATAGGTTTAATGTATCGAGTTTGCTCTTACGTCAATACACAAAGTCTGAAATTAATCTACTTTGGGCTAATACATAGCTTCATCAGCTATGCAAACATTTCATAGGCAAGTACTCAAACATCAAAGCTTAAAAAACTGTATAGTTTGCAAAACATCCTTGCAGAATCATTTACTATAAGGATAGGCGTGAACACGCTAATCCCTTGATGAGTGACATGAAAATGATGAAGGTGTTTGAAATAAATGTCTATCAGCATTTATTTTTCATGTATTGTTACAATTACAATATCTCTCCTATAAGCTTTAATAGCAAGTTTGAATTAAATAAAAATGAAAACTATAATCTTAGAGCAAATTCGTTAAACACATATAAACTGCCTCTTATAATAAATAAATATTCAGAATATAGCATTTCATATCAAGGTCCTAAAGTATGGAATACTTTTCAAAAAGGATTCAAAGATACGGTAATCTAAACATATAAACAAAAATACAATCTTATTAGCGAATTATCCATTTTATTACGATATTTATTACGATATTTAATTGAAATTTTATTACGTATTTATTTTACGAAATGTTTTATGAAATTTTATTACGTATTACGTAATACGATATTTTATTGAAATTTTGTAAAAGGGGCTCTATGAAAAGATTGCTATGACGTACTGTCATCCTAATCTTTTTTGAGCCCCTATCTGTTTTCACATACTTTATTTTTTAAGAAGCACGTTGTAAAATTCTTATGTTATAAAACAGAAAAAAAAAAAAAAAAAAAAAGGGATTGCAAAGAATTTCTTATTGTTAAATACATACACACAAAAGTAAAGGAGTTGTTACCAAAAATAAAGCACCCCCATTAAGTACGTAGCAAACTTTAACCCTCTCCCCTCCCCTATTTCTTCCTCAGAAATGAATAAAATTAGTAAAATATTGTTTTTAATATATATATAAATAACCTTAACAAAGTCTCTAATTTAACCACTATAATTTTTGCTGATGACACAAACCTACTCCAATCTCATGAAAACATTAATAGACTTTTTAACAATATGACACAAGAATTAAATAAAATCTCATATTGGTTTAAGAAAAGCAGGTTGTCTCTCAATATTGATAAAACAAAATAGACACTTTTTTACTTAATATCCAGAAAAAACGCCTGCCAAATACGATGCCCGACCTCCTCATTGACAATATAACACTAAAAAGGGACTGAGTTACAACACTTCACAGAGCTCCTCTAGACGAAAACTTATCCTGGAAATAACAAATCGATAATATCTCCATGAAACTTATCCTAGAAACAGCAAATCCATAATATCTCCATGCAAATCCAACGATAATTCAAAGTTCGACATATGTTAATGAACAATAATTAAAACAACTATGTTATTCTTTTATCCACTGGCATTTAAATTTTCCAAATATTGTATGGGGAGGCGCGCACAAATCTAAACTTAAATCTCTTTATCAGTATCAAAAACACGCAGCTCGCTTGATTAATTTTGTAAATCATTTTTCAAATTTAAAACCACTTCTGAGAGAAATGAAAACCTTAAATGTATACAGACTAAATCTTTATAATATTGTATGTTTCATGTTTAAATGTAAAAATTCTTTATTTCCTGATGTATTTATAAACCTTTATAATGTAAAACCCATCAACAAATGGGTCTTCAAATGTAAAAAATCTCCAAAAACCTTTTTGCCAAACAACTATTTATTTCTTATCGCGGTACTTATTTATGGAATAAGTTTTGCCTAATTTTGACTTGTCTTTGAAATAGACTTCAACTTCTTCCAAAGTAAAATTAAGAGAAGTTATCTTTTTAACAGAAAATATTTTTTCTTGTTTTTAGTTCTTTTGTTTCATATATTTTATCAAGTATAATTATATTCTAAAGGCACAGTTATATATAGTTTATGTTGATTTGGTTAATTTAATTTTTTATTATTATTGTTATTATTATTATTACTATTAGTATTATCATAATATCTGATATTGTAAAGGGCTTCATGATAAGATCATATGATCTTCTGGAATTGATTACATTTGTAATAAAGCTATTTTGTAGTTGTAATTTTTTATTGAGAGCAAATAAATATATCAAAAAATAATAATAATAATAAAATTTTTATTTCTGTTAAGCATATTAGTTTAATTTTTTTGCTTGAAGTACTTGAGTGAATTTTACTCTAATAGTACTCAAAAAGTACAAGTAAAATTACCGGTCGAAATGTTCACTCAAACAAAAGTAAAAGTCCAGCTCATTAAAAATGTATTCAAAATTTATCAAAAGTTAGCGTGTTACTTTTTTAATAGCTATTGTCAAGTAACAGAGCTGTCGAATAACAAAACATATACAATGTGGTATTTTTTTTGATATATTTTTACACAGATAGATTTTGTTAAATTTGAGAAGCAGTTGATTTTTAAAGTTGGGAGATTTTATATTTGCCAACTTTGAAGTTAATAACAGTCTAGCGCCGCTGAATAGCCGTTTACAGACAACCATGGCAGAAAGACTAGTATTCAGTTTAAGTAAAATTTTTTGATGGACGGAATGGATTTTAACAGACTTATTGTGTTTGAACAGCAAGCAAGGTACATATCTACTTTCCCTGTACCTTAAGACCTTTTGGAATGGACTAATGAGAAGAAATTTTCTTCATCTGAATGAATATTTTTCAACTTGCTCCACTTCTCCCACCTTGTCAATGTTTTTTCTCTCATAAACTGTTGAAAACAAAAACAAGGCCATACCTATTAAAAAACATAAACAAAAATGAATAATAAATATTTTTGTTAATCCAAAGATATATTTCAAAAATCAATGATTAAGTAGTAGCAAAAAAGATAGGGCACAATAGATTACATAATGCCATAAAAAAAGGAAATCCTATAATTCTCCTATAATTTGCTCCTATAATTTCAGTCTTATCAGTTTAATTAAACTTTGGAAAAAGGATTGTAGTAGTAATCAGTTCTGGGTCTTAAGTAATTCCACCAAAAAGTTTTTAGACACCATCCTGAACTGCTATAATAAAGGATAGACACATTTTTGAGGATGTCTCAAGGCTGCTGAGTTTTCTCATGTGTGTATTGGTCTCAGGCTAAAGAATGTTAATCGCCTTTACAACAGGTTTCATAAGAGTGGCCGTGGCGCAGTGGTTAGAGCGCCTCCTTTATAAGCAGGAGATCCAGGTTCGAAACGAGGTCTGGACATATTTTCGCGTCACGGTAAGGAGGGAGACGTGAACTTCCTGGTTAAATGCACTTCCACGGTGCTCTGTGACAAGACCCTTAGGTCTTCTTGGGGCACCTAAAAAAAAAAAAAAAAAAAAAAAAAATTCTACGAATGCCAAGTTCTACCTAGTCTGATTTAGCTTTGTATTTCTCTTCAATAGTTTTTGTTTCCAATTATGACCAACTTGTCTTGTTCCACATTGCTTATATTTCCCAAAGGCAGCTCGCAATAACCGTTTGTACATGTTATTGCCAAGCAGCATTAGTTTCTATCCAGCACAAATACATTGGGTCAACGTATGCAAAACCATCGGGAAAGCTGGCTATTGTTCCTGATGCAAATCCAAAGATGATTCAATGTTTACAAACATCTCAATTAATCACAAAAATGGAAAAATTTTCCAAGAAAAGAAGAAATTGCAAACTTCGTTTTGGAAGTAGTTGACCTACCATATGAGTTATTAATAAAAGTCTGCCATTTACAGTAATTAGAAAAACTTTCCTAAATTTACCAAGGCCATAAAAAAGTCCAGAATTGTGTGGTTTATGTTCTAGGCCTAACAGTTATCAGCAAAAACTTCTAATTTCTTCACACTTGGATTAACAAAACTTTGTAAATAACCATGTATGAAACTGCAAGTAAGTGCGGCAGATCACCTCTCCAAGGTTTTTTCATCAATCCAATAAGCTGTCACCCCTATGAAACTTTGCTGGTGCGCAGACCAACAATCAGTAGACGTTGCAACAGTAGCCTGTTTTAACTTAGCTGTAAGAGCAAAGTTTTCTTTAAGTGAATGGTAGCATCGTTAACTCTGATACAAAGAGAGGGTTTGGATATGACTTTGCAATGTAGATTAACTACATGTAAAAGATCTTTAAATCAGGTTGTTTAACCAATAAAAACTGTTTCAAAATTTTTTTTTTCATAATCTTGTCAAGCTTTTCCTTTAATACATTTGTTTGCACCCAGTGCTAACACTTGTCAATCAATTGTTTCAACATTTTGATTTGGTGTTAGCAAAGTTTACTAAAAAAAACCTTAGGCTTGCATACAGAATAAAGTTGTTTTTAATTAACCACAATGGCGAATTTTTTATTTGGCTTCACATATATCACAAAATGTCATCAACTATTTATTAAAATTTTTGGCTAGAGCGTTTATATGTTGTATTGCACAGCAATACTAAATTGCGGAATATATGCTTTGCGCGGCAAAGATAAAGACTGATGAATTTAATTTAATTCGTCAATATAATTTGCTTTGTAAAACGGAATAAATAGAGACAGTGAGGTAAATAGGAACAGAAACTACAAAAGTTTTTTGGATATCTATACATCCTATTAAGTATTCAGATTTTGTATATCTATACATCCTATTAAGTATCATTTACTGATAACTTACAGGTGCCTACCTGTAGGTTATCAGTAAATGGCACACGCATTTATGTTAAATTTCTTCAAAAAATTTTTTTTCAGGATATACAAATTTTAATTAAGTTAAAACTAAACTTCAGTGTGACAAAATAGTTTTATTTAAAAATTTTCTAGTTTAAATTAAACAACTAAATTTCTAAAGGTTCTTATTGACGAAATCGATTCTTAGTCAGCTTGCATAAACGCCATCAACTCTGAAATGTCTAAAAGCTTCGGTATACTTTTTAAAGATAGACCAACGTTATCACAAATAAATTTAAATCTTTGTAACCCTTTCTTTATGTATAGTCTTCTAGCGTACGCTAAAATAGCATAGAGAAGCACACAAACAGCATAGAGAAGCACACAAATAGCATAGAGAAGCACACAAATAGCATAGAGAAGCACACAAGATAAAGTTGAGGTACAGAGTCAAATGCTTTTTGAAAGTCAATGTATACCACGTCAGTAATTAAATTGCTGTCTAAAGCTTTATTCCAGCCATAAGTTGACTCTAGAAGATTTGTGCACGTAGATCTTTTGGATAAAAAGCCGTGTTGATTAGGTGTTATTAGATTATTTATATAAAGATAATCAGCGATACTTGAACTAACAATACTTTCCATGACACGACAGCTAGTACATGTGAGAGAGATAGGTCTATAATTGTTAGCATCTGAAGTAGATCCTTTTTTAAAAATAGGGGAAACCGTAGCTTGAAGCCACTGTTTTGGTAACGAGCTTGACGTAAAACTTGATTCAAATATATATGAAAGCGGAATACATATTATATGTGCTAACTGTTTTAAAAGTATATTTGGTATACTGTCTGGTCCAAATGATGTGCTAGGTTTTAGATTTTTAAGTTTTTGATAAACTATCTTTGCTGAAAAATCTACGAAATTCATCTTAATATGTTCACTAACAAAGGTATTTATTTTAGGTAAAATTCATCTATGGTAAAAACACTTCCAAAGTGTTTCTTAAACACTTCCGCGATCTCAACATTGGTAGTTGTAAAGTTGCTATTTATTTTTAGAGGATATATTTTTTGGGGGTTGTTTAGATTTTTATTTACATAACTAAAAAACTTACTTAAGTTATTTTCTTTGACCAGTTTTAGTTCCACATTTTTGTGGTGTGTGGATATGGCTTTTTTACATTTTGATGCATATTGGATAAATATTGGATAAAGGTGAAACATGCTTCTAGATCAACATATCTTAAAATATACTTATCTATGTTAAACCCCTATTATAGGAATGGATCTTAAAATACTATATATAAAGTTCTCTCTTTTTATTTTTTCATCAGTTATTTGGTTGGTCTAAGAAGTCTTAACAGTCTTATCATAGAGCATCGCGTAAAAGCATTTAATCAAGAAGTTCACACCTCCTTTCTTCGTTTTCTCAGCGTCAAATGTTAGTTCAAAATTTTAAAAACCAATTTTTTAAAGGGCATCTTCAAAAATTCATTTAGGGTTAATTAAATACATTTCCATTAAAGGAGTTTTGTTTTAGCCTGTTATTAGTTGAAATTAAAAATAAAATAAATTATAAAAACTAAATTCGTTTTTTGGGGGCCATCCATAAAGGACGTCATCCAAATAGGGGGGGAGGGGGTCGAGTTAAAAAGGACAAAAAAGGACAAGGGGAGGAGGGGAGATTGTCGGAAAAGGACGTCACTTGATAGATTTTTTATTTTAGTTTAATTAACATGGAAAACTACGTTAACATGTGTTATTAAGAAAATAATGTATGAGAATATTTTTAATTTTATTTTTCAAAGGTGTAGCAGCAGATTCAAACATCTTTGCAAGATGAAATAAATTTTTTTGGAGTTAAAAATAGGGGGGGGGGTTCGGGATTTTATGACGTCATTTTCAAGAGGGGTATAGGGAAAAAGGATAACCCGTGACAAAGGAGGGGTGGGGTCAAAAATTGGCTAAAAAATGGTGACATCCTTTATGGATGGCCCCTTGTGACTATTGTTTGTGTAAAGCGCTCAAAAAATGTTTTACTATAGTAGCCATATATATATTCATTCATAGATATATAATATTCATAGATACGGTTAAAAAAGTAGGCTTACCTGGTGGCAAAGTCCGTCTCTATATTAATATGTTGAGTTATAGGATTGCTTTTATAACTGAAAATAATTTCCCTAAAAAAAAAAATTATTTTAAAATTTATCATGAAAAGAAGTTCTGAATATAAAATAAATTATAAAAAATAAATTCGTTTTTTGTAAAGCGCTCAAAAATGTTTTACTAAAGTAGGCAGTAGTATATTTAAATACAAAAATGATGTACAAAAACCTGGAGCAAATGAAACTTTAGGTGAAAGAAATATAAATATTAATGGTTTCACGAAAAGATGTGAGAATTCTGAAAGAACATTGGCCTACTATAAAAAGTGAAACCTTTGTTAAAATCTAATTTAATTAATAATTTTTATATTTTTCTTTATTTCATTGTCGTTTTAATTACGCAAACATTGCTTGGTTTACTAAAAATAAAAAATAAACTAAAAACAAAACATGCAGTCAAAATCATATCTAGTGTGAGCCGTTTAACCATAGTCATACTATAGTCTGGTTACTTGCGGTATTCCTTTAATCAACTCGAAAGTGCAGAAAAATATTTGTCGATTGTTTATCTGCGATCTGCTTTTTCTTAGGCATGCTTAAAAACAAGCACTAATAAATGCAGCTGTTAATGTGCTAAACAAACACATGTTCCAATTTGTTCCAAAACTTTAACAAGTGTTAAACAAACTTTAGGTGTCAAATATAATCAAACAAACTTTAGATGTCAAATACAATGCAATCAAGTTTGCAGCGGGAAACGAAAATTATTCGGAAAAGGTTGTTATAAGTTAAAAAATTTAGTATAAATTTAATTAACGGAAACATGTGCTAAAAATGACTATCATTGTTCAAAACAAAGGTGTTGAGATAATTTAATAAAAGTGTTGGCACGACAATTATCACAAGCAACCACATCTACATCTAACATAGAGGCTTTCATTAAAAGGTTTCATTAAAATATTCACATTTTCAGCTTTTGTGTGTTTAATTTCAGCACTGTTTATTGTTGCAGCCGACCATAAACAGTATTAAAAACAGACACAAAAGAGCCTAATATGTGAGACGCATCAACAAATATATAGCTAATAGTTGTCAGTCTGATTGAATGAAACAAACTTTAATGAAGAAAATGAAGGAGAATAATAATGAAAATACTTGCTTCAAAATGTTCAAATATATATTTGAAGCTATATCAACTACAAATGTCTTCAAGTTGGATACACAGAGGATCATTTAATGTAAATTTTTTGTAAACAAGTGGATCATTTAATGTATCAATGTGTATATATAATGTAACATAGTAATAACAATATGTATATAATATATAATGTAATATATAATGTATATTATATATAGTATATAATATATAACATAATAATAACAATATGTTAATAATAACAATATAATATATAATGTATATAATAGATCATTTAATGTAAATTTTTTGTAACAAGTTTTTTGTAACAATTTTTTGTAACAAGTAAACGTAAATTTTTTGTAACAAATTTTTTGTAAACAAGTGTAACAAATTTGCTTAAAGTGAATAAAGGGTTTTTTAAATTGTTTTAGCATTTGAAAAATATATAAATAATATAAAGTATATAAATAATATAAAGTATATAAAAAATATAAAGTATATAAAAAATATAAAGTATATAAAAAATATAAAGTATATAAAAAATATAAAGTATATAAATAATATAAAGTGTATAAATAATATAAAGTATATAAGTAATATAAATTAAGGTTTTCATATTCAGTTTATGATTATCACATAATTCTTTTATATCATCTAAAAAAGAAAATTTAGCTGAACAGTAGTTAAGTTGGGAGTTAATGATTTCAAAGGCTACTTTATTGTTTAAAAGGCGGATAAATAGATTTATTTTGTTTTGGTGTATATAATTTGACATCTCCTTAATTTTAAATAGAGAGTGCATATAGTTTTTACTTTACTTGGAGACATTAAAAATTGATTTAAATGCGTTCCTTCCAAATATGTCGAGTCTTTTTATTGTTGCATCTTTATTTTCACAGAGCTCTAGACCGTGGGTTAACATCGGAACTGCTAATGATTTATATAATTGGATATTATATAATTTTATATAATTTATATAATTCAAATATTAGGGTAGATTAGGGTAATATGGGCACCTTGGTAATATGAGCATACTTAAAGATTTATTAGATGTAAGCAGTGAATTAAAGTTGCTTTGTGTTTTTCAAATCAACTTTATGTAGTGATAACAGGAATCAGTACAATTTGCGTAAATTTATATGCAGTAATTAGCGGACATCATCTAATTAAAACGCTTTAAAATTTTTTGCTTTGTTAAAATATTATCATCACACGTGAATAATTCTGTGGCTCAAAATTTTGGTGCTAAAATAATGAAATTAATTTTTTCATAAAGAAAAATATATTAGCTAAAAATCCAACTCATTTTGGTTTGAAAATAATGCATAGAAACATTTATTTTTGACTTTATTTAAAGATGCCATTTTTGTGTAATATGAGCATGCTCAAATTACCCAGTGTTTTTCATTGAAATTACTTAGTTTAAAGTCCTAAAATAGCAGTGGTTTTTAATTGCTTCTTGAATAAAAACAAAACATAGTAAAAAATTTTAATATTTTAACAATACTAAATATTTTTCTGAACTTAAATTTAAAAAATTTGAATTTTTATCGTTCAAAGGCTTGAGTTAATAAAATTGAAAAAATAACAAATTAATTTTTTGTTGTTGTTGTTGCGGAAAACATATAAATTTTGTTTCAACAAAATGTAGCTTAAAATTTGATCTTTTAATGATATGTTTTGTTAATCACAAATCCTTATATTCCAAAAATTAGTTCTTTTAATCAGGTTGGTCTTTTTTTACTTAATTAATGCTATTTTTTGAGCTAATTTAAGGTGCTCATATTACCAAGGGGTCTGGGTAATACGAGCATTTTTGCTACTTTTTTAAAACCTCTGTGTTTTTAAGAAAAAATGTCGGGTGCCCAAATATCTAAATGGATCATGAGTAGGGATCGTTAAAAATTGTTTATTTGCAAAAATTTTAGATCCAGCATATTTATTTTTGAAAATATTTTAATTTTCGCTTAATGTGCTCATATTACCCTAATCTACCCTAGTAATAATTATTAAAAAATGTTGAAGTTTTACAAACAAGCTTAAATTATTATGTAGAACTTTTTGAAAAGAATATAAAAACCGCCATTGCCTCTGTAGGAAAAGAACAGAAAATAATAAAAGAACATCCGTATTCATAATATAAAAACATTCGTATTCATAAATGAATACAAAACCACTTTACTTGTTTCTAACAAAATTAAAACAACACTTCTTCAGCTCTGAATACAAGTCGAATGTACAGTGTCGAATGTACAGTGTCGAATGGAAATTTTATCAAAATTTTATAAAAATTTGTAATTATCTAATTTTTGTAAATTTAAGTTACGTAAATAAAAAATCTTTTTTTTATATGACGTTACAATTTAACTTACTTAAAAGAATGTTTTTTCATTAATATAATGTCAAATTTACATAAATTAGATAATTACATTTTTACATATAATTTTACATATAATTTTAATAAATTTTCGGTATGACTTGTATTCCGAGCTAGCTCGGAATAAAAAGTTTAACGCCCAATAAATTGTTAGCTAACAATTTATTGGACGTTGAACTTTTTATATACTTTTGAATTCTTAATTTTAACATCTTAAATGCTAAAACAAATTTTAAAAATTTTGAAATATTCTTACTAGAAAGCAAAATTATTTAATTTATACATTGCGTAAAATAATCTGGCTAACTGATGATGCTTTTAGCAAAAGTTGATAGTTTGACTTATGACGCAAATATGACAGAATATGACGCATTTTACGTACTAAGAAAGGCTGAAAAAGTGGCATTGTTATTTCCGTCATAAATAATTTGCGGTTATAAATGCTAAACGACTTGCGCGCATCATAATGCAATGAATATATATATTTTTAATTGAAATAAATAATTTGTCACTAAATTGAAGTCAATAGAAAAAACTTTAAACCAGCTTAGAATATTATTCAAAAACTTTTAGAAAAAGAAGTCGTTTTGCTGACTTATCAAATAATATCATAATATTGTCGCTAATAGTTTTTATTTTATTTTTTATTAGCTTCTATCAAGAAATTTAGAACTTAGAAATAGAATTCTTTATCTCATAGTATAATTAATTTATTCATGTTTACTCTGAAACTCAATTTAATATTTTCTTTTTCTAAACGTTGTAAAACTAACCTCAGTATTTAATGTGCTCCAAAACATTCACAAGTTTAAGTCTATAAAATTAAATATTTGTATTTTAGTTTTAGTAATTCAAATATTTCTATTTTAGATTATACTTTCTTTTATACAATAAATTCAAGTTAGCCTTGACTTTACTAACTAACATAGCTTAAAGTGAACAAAGGGTTTATTAAATTGTTTAAGTATTTGAAAAGTATATATATATATATATATATATATATATATATATATACAGTACTGGAAAAATTATTATGGATTTTTAAAATACATCGTTATTTCGGACTTAAGGCATTACTAAAACACAATTTGTTCATTAGTTCATAACCAAAAATGATTTATTTACACGTATTACACATTTTTATACATTTTAATACTTTGTTTGGCCACCTTTCGCAAGAATTAAAGCTTTTACACGATGTGGCATGCTCTCAATCAAACTTTTACACAAAAATTTAAATTTTGTAGAGTGAAACCACACGTGTATTAACCTTTCTATCAGTTGGCTTTTTGTTGTTATGGGTATTTGGTGGATTTCATTTTTTAGTACATCCCATAGATTCTCTATGGGATTCATGTCGGGCGAGTTTCCTGGCCAAGGAAGAACCTGGACAGCATTTTGTTGGAACCAAGTCATAACTTTTTTGGATTTGTGGCAAGGTGCAGAGTCTTGCTGGAAAATCCAGAAGTCTGACCCATACCATTCCCTAATTTGTGGCACTAGTCGAGATTCTAGCACCTTAATGTACTTGTCCTGGTTCATTGTGCCATCCACGATGTACAATCGACTGGTTCCATGGACCGAAAATGCCCCCCATACCATTATTTTTTGAGGAAATTTCACAGTCTTCTTCAAACATTCTGGCAAAAATTCTTCCCCGGGTCGTCGACGTACGGTTTGGACCCTATCATCCAAAATTGCGATAGTCGACTCATCAGAAAACACAACCTGAAACAAAATTAACTGCTAGAGAAAGTAGAGAGAGAGTGCCTTACCTCTAAGTTAAAATTTGAAAATTATTGTTTATTAAATACGTATTATTATAATGTTACAAGACCCCATCACAACTAAAATAATTAATAAAGACAAAAGTAATTTAACTGATTATCATTCCTAAATGTATTTAAGATTAAAAAAACCATTTTTACCTTTTGCCAATCATCATAAGTCCAAGATTCATGCTGCTTTGCCCAATCGTATCTTGCTTTTTTCATATTTTCTGTAAGGCGTGGCTTTTTTCTTGGACGATATGCTTTCAATCCGAACTCTAACAATCGATTGTTTACCGTTTTTCTGCTCACAGAGATTCCTTCTTCCCCTAACATACTGGAAATCTTCGAACATGTTGCTCTTCTATCCTTAAGTGCCATATTTTGGATTTTTCTATCGGTTCTTGGTGTGGTTATTTTTTTCCTCCCACAGTTTCCTTGTCGTTGAGAGCCCACATCAATCCCTCTCTCAATTTTTTTCTTAATCAGACTAACAATTTGTGTCGATATATTTAATTTCCTAGCGATTTCTTTTTGTTTAAGTTCAGAATCTTCTAGTAAAACTTTAATTTGTCCAATTTTACGAGGACTTAAATCACTATTTTTACCCATGACTTTATATACAAAACTAAATGAAATAAAAAAAAATTAAGTAACTTTTTTGGTTTAGATAATATTAAAAAAACTTAAAACTTCAATAAAATGTTATAAAAACTTTAATTCTCAGCGACGACAAGCCCTCGTGACGGAACGCAGCGAACTAACATAAATGTGCATAATATGCATAATTATGACACAACACATAAAAATTGTGTTGCCATCTATAAAATGATAAAAAATGTTGACATTTATGAAAAATATGGTACACAATGAATGTATAGTGAAAATAGAAAGAATTTATGTGAAATATAATACTTTAAATAATAAAATTAACTAAAATTGTTGCATAAATTGTGTTATTTTAAAAAATCCATAATAATTTTTCCAGTACTGTATATATATATATATATATATATATATATATATATATATATATATATATATATATATATATATATATATATATATATATATAATATAAATTGAATAATTTGCTGATTTAATTATCAAATTTAGTTAAATAATAGTAATCATTAAAGTTTATAATAATGGACACGAAGCAAAATCACATATTTGAAAGAAATTGTTATTTTAAAATACTTAACCAAATGTAGAAGATCCCAGTGCCGGATCAGGGGGGGGCTAGGGGGCTAAAGCCCCGGGCCCGGCAAACTTAGGGGCCCCCAAAAATTTTAGAGGAGCTTTTTTTTTTAAGTCATTTTTAGACTCTGGCCCATAAAAAGGCCTCCAAAAACAAAAATAGCCCCGGGTCCCAATAATTTTTAATGTTATTTTAAAGCGAATTCTGGGATCCCATTTGCAAATTTAGGCTCTTTTGCAAATGGTAGTAGTTTTTGTTTTTTTTTAATTTTATTTAAAATAATACCTAATGGAAAAAGTTTTAAGATTTCAGGGTCTCGATAACAGGTTTTAGGGGGGCCTTGAACCCAGTAGACGTAATACTGCTCCAAAAAAATGAAAATATTTTGTCTAGAGCAACTATAAGTTTGTTTGTAGCAATTTTCGCTGATTTTAACCAAGAATTTTGAAAGGTAAAGCAGTATTAAAATACTAAAATTTTGTTTGTTTTTATTAAAAACCTTGAAAGACGTTTTAACATGTTTTGGTGATCGTCATAAAGAATCTTGAGAGAAATTCAAATACTGCTATTAAGTGCCTCTAGAGCTATCACCAGCTTTAATAGCAAAAATGTCGAAAACTATTTTTAACAATTTTGACGTTTCTACGCTGTTGGATTGATAAACTATAATCTTTAGTCGGATTATGTTTACGTTATTTTGAAACTTTTATAATAATGAATATGTAACTTAGTTATCCTGATATTCAAATTTCTCTTTTGGCTAACAAGATATTTCATCATTTCAGTATTCCATATATATATATATATATATATATATATATATATATATATATATATATATATATATATATATATATCCCAGTAAGCAGAGGACGTTTTTATAACGTTTAAAAAACTTATTAATATATATATATATATATATATATATATATATATATATATATATATATATATATATATATATATATATATATATATATATATATATATACTTTAACTTGTAATAATATATTTAAAAAAACTTGGCAATAATATTCACACAATTAATTAGAAACAGCTACAAACCTCTTAAATAAAATGGTTACATTTTTGTTTTGATGATAAATGAATATAGTTAAGCTCCAAAATAATAAAACAAAAATTATTTTTTTAGAAGCCAAAAGTTTGCATTTGCACATGCATGAGTAAGGATAACGTAAATCTCGAATTGATACTGAGAAGTTCATTTCTGTAAACATAAAAGACAATAGATACAACAACAATACAGAAACACAAAAAATACTTCAAAATAATATAAAAACAAAGTTTTTACTTTTTTAAAATTAACTAAATCTGTAATAAGTTGTAATAGTTAACCAAAACCTGTAAGCCAAGGTATCTATAGCACTGCTAAAGATATTTTTCGTTTTTTTAATTAAAGGCAGGGCCGTCCCAAGGAGTTGGGGGTGTCTAACCCCCCAAGGAGAACTTTATTCAAAAACTAATTGGCAAATTTTGACCCTGGAGCCGGCAAATTTGAATCTTTTTTTTTTTTTTTCTTTTTGATTTTTTACAACTATATAAACTATTGTTACAATTCCTTTCTTGACATAATATATAGTCATAGAGAAAACAAAAATAAATGTATACATATATAAATCGTTATAAATATATTGTCAAACACACTGTGTTAAATACAAAGTATATGTTTTATATATATTTTATGATAATAAATTTGATAAAATAATTTGGTGAAATAATTGTGATGTTGTAAGGAAACTCGCAGAAGACTTAAAGAAGTCTGTTCAATTTCTCAAATAGAGAAAATGACAAGATTGTCATTTTCTCTATTTGAGAAAAAATGTCAAATTCTCGTATAGAGAATTTAATTTAGATTTATGTGTGTTCCTCCATGCAATGTTAGCGTAATTTAAATAACTTTGAATATAAGAAAAGTAGAGAGATTTAAGATTTGATTGTAAGAGCATTGGTTTAGCTTTATAAAGAACACCTATGCTTTTTGATATTTTGTTATTAATTGTACTGGGTCTATTGTATATTGCCCTATGGGCCATATACAATAGACCCAGTACAATTAATAACAATATAATTGTATATGGGCCTTCCAAGAAATCTTTTCATCAACAATTATTCCAAGAAATTTAGTTTTTTTAGTTCTTTTAATGTATATGTTATCTATTTTTAATGATGGTAGGATTGGTGGTATATTATTTTTCTGCTGGTTAGAATAAAATAAGAAATATTTGGTTTTTTTCTGTATTTAAAGATAATTTATTTGCCTTGAACCAGATGTTAAGATTTTCAAGATCAGCGTTCATTGATTCATAAAGTTCTTTGATAGATGACGAGCCTTTAGTTGGATGTCAGTAAATGTCTGTCAACGAGGACTTTTTTTCTTCTTTTAAGCCTCAGTAGGCAAAAAGCAGATACGCTGCCCCCTGATTTCTTCGGGACGTCCTGATTTACTTCGAGACGTCCCGATTTTCTTCGGGACGTCTCTTCTGATTAAAGGCTGATTAAAAATGGTGAAAAAACGTCAAAATTTAGGTTAATTCAATAATAGGTATTCCTATTATTCAAGAATAATAGGAATACCTATTATTCTAAATAACTTAGGTTAATTCAAATATATATTAAGTATAATTGTTTTAACAATTATACTTAATATATTAATAAGCAAATATACTTAATATACTAATTAGCTCAATGATATATTAAGAATATATTCTTAATATATCATTGAGCTAATTAGTCTCAATAAATTTTGTCAATAGTCTGATATTTTATTTTCTCGAAAGTATAAATCTGTTTAAAAAATAAGTTTTTGCAGAATGACGATGTGCGCATGCTTGAGGATTTATTTAAAAAAAAAAAAACGACCTAAAGTTTTTTCACTGCATTTTCATGGTGTGTTAGTTATAACACTTTATTTAAAATAATAATAATAATAATATAAAAATTTAGACCACAATCTTTTATTGACAAAACCTTATAAATCTTATTATTGAATCTTTGATTAATAAAACATTATGAAAACTTTGAAAAGTGTATATATATATATATATACTTTTCAACGTTTTCATAATGTTTTATTAATCAAAGATTCAATAATAAGATTTATAAGGTTTTGTCAATAAAAGATTGTGGTCTAAATTTTTAAAAACGCATTTCATAGCTTTATGACAATATAATGGTTCCTATGACAATCTTTTCAACAGAAATTTAAACCAAATTAAAAAAAACTTATTCAGTTTTTTATAGATCAAGTGCCCTAGAAACCCAAAATGGTGCCCTGGGGAAATGGTTTTTGGTTTTTACTTCTCCAAAAAAATTCTCTAATTAATAAATGTTCATAAACAGTAATTAATTACAATACTTTATGAACGTTTTTGGAGAAGTTAACACAAAAAACCATTTCTCCAGGTCATCATTTTGGGTTTCTAGAGCACTGGATCTATAAAAAACTGAATGGGTTCTATAAAAAAAAAGATTTTGGATCACTAGCAAATGAATTTAGAATATACTAGTATGATGCAATAACACCAAAATATCACTAATCCATGAGTGTCAGATAAAAACTGATCGAGAGAGTTATCAACATAATTCAGCCAGCTAAATACCACTTTTATGAACTCCATGAAAGTAAAATGTAGATTATTTTAAAAATAATTTGTTTTAGGTGCCCCAAAAAGACTTAAGGGTCTTGACACAGCACACCACGGAAAACCATTTAGCCAGGAAGTTCACATTATTTAGTAAAGCATTAGTAGCATACTATGAGTGGCTGATAACTGTGCAACATAACATATGGTGGCTAGTTATTGGTTAGCCATTTTTGGTGGCTGCCACAAATAGCCTACTAAGCAATCATTGAGCAAAACTATAATTAACCGATCAATATGCCTATACAGGTCCACTGAACTTTCGCTGAAGAATATTTTCTGAGGAGATCCCCAGAATATTTTTTTACTTAAAAAAGTTGATTTGTATTAAAAAAATTTGTATCAAATAAAAAACTGGCTACCTCTCCAGTTACGTGATTCGATTAATCTTTGCGGACTGAATTAAATAAGAAAAAACTATTTAAAAAATAAATTGAATTTTTTTTTAATTAATTTAATATATCATTAAGTTGAAAATATATAAGTATAATATAAATACTTGATCTTTATTATAAGCAATTCAAAAGTTCATCAAAAACATTTTTTTTTTTGACCCAAAAATTCCCCCTAATAAAATATTGAAATAATTTTAAATAATCTTTTTATATTTAAGAACTAAAAACCTAATTCCGTGAAAAATTATTTAAAAAGGTAAAATTGGAAAAATTTTGATGAAATGTAAGTAAAACCCTATTTCGGCTTGGAGTCGTCCGTAAATTACGTCACGCAATTTTCGACCATTTTTTACCCCTCCCTTACCCTCGTCACAATACCATAGCTCTTTAGTAACAAGTCCCATATGAGTCACAACCCCTTCCTCTTAGAGAGTGACGTAATTTATGGCCGTTTTTCACAAGACGAAAAAAATCGTCTGACGCAAATCTTTTCGTCTCAACGAAACGCAGTTTTGATTTCGGCCTCATTTACGCACTATTTTTTTTGCTATCCAACAACAAAAATGGCAGCATTTAGTTAACGTTGTATGCTTTTCAGAAAAAATTGTTGTACTGTTGTAAAAATGTTTTCACTGTTGACGCTACATGATACTCAAAATTTAAATGGTTTTCACTTTTGTCGATCGAAAAAAAGTAGAAGTGAGTCCTACTTTTTTTAGATCAGCAAAATTGCAAGAGATGTTTTATTTGTGTATGCATGCATCGAGCCTTGGACCTTTTGGTTCTAAGCCAGAACTCTGACCGCAGCGCCACGGCTGCACATTTTTAGATTCATAATGGCAGCTTCATGTATTTGGCGAATTTAAAAAAAGGTAAAATTCAACAAAAACCATCCTATAATTGTTAAAATACTTGAAAAATTAGTTACATTCTGGTTCACATTCTAAATTATAAACAGATAAACAAACCCTGAATGTTTCTGCTACTACAATCTAAGAGCATTGTTGCTAAAGACGTCTTTAAGGGAAAAACTTTATACATGCCTTTAAAGGACGTAAATTTTAGAAAATTTAATTTAAAAAAATGCGTAAAAAAATACATTTTTTAAAGGAGCAAAAAATTCCTGTTTTAAAATACACAAATAACATAAAAACTTTATTTTTTTTATTTTTAATAAGAACTTTTTTGCTAGACGACTATCTTAACATCTCAGTTTTAGTAGCTTGGCCGTTATTTTTCAAACCATCTTTTTTAAACTTGTTTAGTGGCATTTTTTGCATCTCAACAGATTGAACAAGTAGGATATGGATGTTTAAACACTGGATGTAAATTAATGATATAAATTTTAACACGATTATAATTCAACGGACACGACTTTCGAGTCATAACGTAATGACATAAAACACAATTATCTTTCAATTAAAAGTTCTATAAAAAACTATTTGTATCAATGCTTTTTTAAGCCGCTGTGACTCATTTCATGCAATAATCTATAAGCGTGTAAATAATATGACTATAAAAAGTTTTAACTCCCCTCAATTTGATGGAGGTTCAAAACTTTATATAGTCTTTTTATAACGTTTAAGAAGAAATGCCTGTCGGGTTATTGCTGCTGCACAAATTGGACAGGATTTATGCAAGATAAAACAAAACAAAATAATTCTTTTAAATACAAGAAACTACATTTGATATTATTACTTATTAAAACTCATCTTTTTACAACAATCTATAAGCTTGCTTTGTGCACTCGCAATTACATTTAGTTATAATTTCATAGTTGCATTTTATTATTTTTAATTACTTATTGCAATATTTTAACTACATTTTATGTTTTTCAATTACGAAATGCAACTTTTTATTTATATGTTGTGTTTTTTAATTGTATATTATGATTTTTTAATTACATTTTTTATGTTCTCAATTTCATCTTAAAAAGGTGTCATTCTAGAATCTTAAGCAACTCTTTTTTAATCAAGATTTCAAAGAAATACAACAAACAAATCAATGATAAAATGAAATAAAAATTTGGCATTAAAACTAAATACAAAATAATTATTTTCTATTGATTTAAAAATAAAAACAACTATTTTAGACATTAAATTTTTCTTAATTAAAAAATAAACAACAACAAACAAAAACAGGCAATATGTTAGTTGCCACTAACTATTAATAAAATTTTTTAAAAGAAACTGCAAAAATTACTAATTGATTCTTTATATGGCACAATAATTCATGTTATTTAGAAACGTTTCGGTTAAAACCATGTTTTGATGGTATCAATTCACCCACAAAAGTTCTAAACACATCAAACCGTAAATATAACATAGGAGAAATTTTATTTAGTTATATAAAGTTTTGAAGTTATTGGATGTAATTTGTATGATTAATAGAAAATGCAATTGATCACAGTTTTTACAGATTTTTCTCATGAAATCAATTTAATAATTTTGACCAGCAGCTATGGCGCAATGGTTAGAGTTTTGGCTCAGAATCAAAAGGTCCAGGTCCAATATTGGCTCAGGCTAGATAAGTAACATTAGTAGAAAAGGAGCTAAGACCTTCCTAGTTATATGTTCTTTCGCGGTGCTCTGCGATTTATTTATTTGCAGTTTATTTATAGTTGACTCTTTTTAACAAATTAAGTAGCTCTATATTAGGCTAATTAATGTCAACTCAAATAACTATAAAAAAAGTTCAAGAAAATACTTAATAAATGATTAGCAAAAATCAAAAATTAAAATAATGAGTTATTTAAAATGCACAATTTGCAGGAACAGTGTTTTGGAATCCAATTTTTGGTTTTTAATTTAAAGTCTTTCAGAGTTAATGCTGATTTGCAACTCATAGGTACCGAATTCCAAAATGCTGATCCCATATGCAAAAGGTACTCTTGGTCATATTTCACAGCCTGTGTATTGTTATATGCAAATTTATCCCCCCTTAAAACGAAAAATCTCTTTCATCAATTTAGAGGCAACCCCAATTTAACTTTCAAAATTTCCGTAACTAATATATGTAAATTCTTGTGATGTATAGTTACAAAACCATTTATAAGTTCCTCGAAAGAAGATTAATAGTCTAAAAGGTTCTTTCGTGTATTCTGTTTATACGATTGTTCTGTTTTCTGCCATGAAACAATTAAACTAATAAGCAATAAGAAAAAAGTGATCTAATAAAAGCAAAGTATAAGTTTTCTTTGATTCATAAGGATAAGACCTTAAGGACCTTTTGAAACACCTTAAATATCTTAGTAATTTAATCATAATTTTTGTTTATTTATTTATTTATTTTCAGTTTATTTTACACTATTTAAAATAGTGTGCAATGGTGATGAGCATCGTTACATATGTTTGTATATAACCTCTATAAAACTTCACAAGTATATTGTATTTTAAAAAATCTTTAAAAATTAAAAAAATAAAGTCGCCAGTGGTAGGACTCGAGCCGTGGCTTTTTTGTTCAGAAGCTCTGCGCGCTAACCACTTGGCCACGCTGGCACATTGATTTCAAAGTTTTAAAACTTAATAATAACTTTTTTTAACGGAAATAAATGCCATAGATCAAAATTAAAGATAGGTTCAACCTATCCCTAATTTTGAAAACATACTAATAGTATGTTTTAACATTACATAATTTGAAATTTACGTTCGTAAGATATTTGCATACACTTTCGTTCTCGTTTTCTTGTAAAACAAAGCTGCTGCAACTCTTTCTCGCTATTACCTCGGTTGCTATGGCTGCCAAGAGTTCTGTATCAAACAGGCTCGAAAGGGCACATCTACTATTAAGTTCAGTATTATTATATAGATGCGTATATATATATATATATATATATATATATATATATATATATATATATATATATATATATATATATATATATATATATATATATATATATATATATATATATATATATATATATATATATATATATATATATATAGAAAGAATTTTTAATTCAAAAAAAAAAACTCTCAATTTTTTTTTTAAGAATTCAGTGGATTTAGTTTTTTCTGCTATTACTTTTACTCTATGGTAATGAAAAAATAACAAATTAAAAGTTTTATAAAAAATATTTGTATCAATACTTTTTTAAGCCGCTGTGACTCATTTCATACAATAATCTATTAGCGTTTAAAAATTATGACTCTAAAATGTTTAAACCCCCGTCAATTTGAGGGGTTAAAAACTTTATATAGTCATCTTCTAACGTTCAAAAAGAAATATCTGTCGCGCTATTGCTGATGCACAAACTTAATTCATACAAGACAAAATAAAAAAAGTACTTCTTTTGCGTTGAAATGATATCTTGATAACTCCTTTTGTGTTGATCATACTGCTACATATATGTTAAGTTTCAAGGGTTGATAGCTTCAGCGATTCTATTTTTTAATATAATTTTTGACGGTAAATATTATATTTTTACAACATTTTAAACGGCAAGCTGTCGTGTCGTTTGTAACTTTTTCCGCGCAAAACAAACATTAGTTAAGGAATTAAAAAATTTAAAAGAAATTAATAAAAAAGTAATTAAGTAAAGCTTTGAATAGTTTAAAAAAAATGTTTTAGTTGTTTAAAAACTACTAGAAAACGTTGTTTAGTAAAAACAACAACTAAAGGAAAGAAAACTACTAGAGAAAGTTGTTTAGCGATATAAAAATATAAAAAAACTTTAAAAAAAAAAAAAATGAACTAAAAAGTAAAAAATAAACTTTATCTCGGGACCCATGGACTTTGTATACGTACTCAACCTGAAATATCCTTTAAAGACAATAAGTGAAAATGTTGGGCGCCCAAGATTTGAAATGTTTTTTGAAATGATCTTTTGAACCCTCAACAAAGTACAACTAGATCCATATATACGCCCAACATTTTCAGTCATTTATATATAGTTTTTTTATATATTTGGTTTTTTTCTCCCATCCTAAAAAAGAAAGTGTGATTTTAAAAGTATCTACTTTAATCTAAAATATATGTCAAATAAAGTTACGGTAAATAAAGTTACGGTAATAAAGAGAACAAAAATAACTTTCTCAGTATAAATTTCGTCTGGAAAAAGACTTTTTAACGACGTTTTAACAAATTTTTAACGTTTTTAACGACTTTTTAACGCCTTTTTTTATTAAATAGAGTAATCGATTGTTTACCTTATTATATTTTATTACTGATTTATTTTCAAAAATATGTGTATAAATAAATAACATAAACAAGTAATAAATAATATAAATAAGTTATGTATTATAAATACGTTATATACTGTGTATGTATACACACTGTGTATATGTATATATACACAAATGAGTTGTTATATATACGTATTATTTCTTATCAAAAATACCTTATTAAATATTAATCAAGTCTCACCATACATGAACTTTTCGAAAAGATAATTCAAGTTTGTTTTTCAAATTAATAAATAAGTTTTATACAAAAAATCTGATATTTATACTAATTTTTATATTTATCGTCATAAATTAAAACGTCTCAAATGAGTATTCGCGTTTATTAGTGCAAAGCTTTACTAAAACTAATTCAACAATACTAATATTACCTGTTTATCAAGTTTAAAGTTCAATTATTGCATGACTCATCTTTTAAAAATACCACGTGTTAATTTTTTTTTGAATTAAGTTTTTTCTTTAACTAAGAGATAAATAAGACAAAATTAGCGCTAATTTTGTAAAACCAAATTTTAAAAAAGTACTAAGCAGTAGAATAAAAACTAGTTAAATTGCTACACACAATGAGTAGTAAACAACCGGTATGGCTGGTATTTGACCTGAGTCAAAGCCGGGTTTATAGCTGGGGCTGTGTAAAAATTGGTGCATATTGACATGATATATAAAAACAAATCAATATACACCAATTTTTATGCAGTCTTGTCCGTAGAACCGGCCTTGGCCACAGTCAAATACCAGCCCCGGTCGTTTACCAATTATGAGGCGTTAGTTAAATGGTAATCCCTCTACCACCTTTTGATGACTAGCATGTTGCTTTCTTAGGTTTTCATCAAAAATATGAGATGAACTTATAAAATAGTTTTTAACGTATTAATAACTCATAATTCAGTTATATCATTTTTGCATATTCTTTAATTATAACTTCTTCTCCTCTTTTGACAATTTAAACATCTTTTATCTGCATTTTTTTTGTTTTTTTTGTTTTTGTTTTTGTTTTTTCTTAAAATGCTTCACGATGACTTGAACGTTCTTATCCTAAGCATTTTATCCGGAACATACATCCGGAGCAATACTTAAATTTCCGGCCGTCACTTATCTCGTTTTTATGTAGTGAGCGGACATCTAGCTTTAGATCTTTCTATCCGAAATCAGCTGCTCAAACCACTGCACCACGGCTGAAAAGGAAAAATAAAAATAGTTTTATTATTTAATATAAAATATCTTATAAATAAAGGGAATTTTTCAGAATCGTAGTTATTGTTACTACTTTTCTAAATCTTAAAGATTTAAAAACTTCTGTTTTTTGTGTTATTTACGTGCTATTAAGTATTAGTATTTCAAAACAAATTTCTTGAAATAAATAAAACTAGTAAATAAATTTGTAAATAGTTCAATAGTTCAATCTTTAAAATAATTTTCTTTGTTTTATTAAATATAACTAATAATAGTAATAAAATATATAAATATAAATTGTAAATATATAAATTCTGTAAAATCAAACATAACAAGGAAAAATGTTTTTTAGTGTTGTTGTAAAAATTTGTTATTAATTTAGCATTTGAAACTACAGGAAGCTTTAGGAAGAATCTCTAGGAGAGTCTTTATGGAGAATCTTTAGGGAAAATCTTTAAGGAGAATCTTTAAGGAAAATCTTTAGGGAGAATCTTTAAGGTGAATTAGTAGATAAAGAAATAGAAATATTGATAAAAAGATTTCTGTTTTTTTAATTAACATTTTAACATTTTAAAGATATATTTTTATTTCTTTTTAAATAAATTTATATTTTGGAGAAGTTAAGATAAGGAAATTTGAATTCAGTAATTCAGTCAAAACACCAACAATTAATGAGTTTAGGAAATTAAACTTTTATGAAACATTGTTGCAGTACTTCAACAACAGATAAAAGTCATTCACCTCAAAGTCTGGTCTTTAATTTGTTTAATTATAAAGCATCATTTTATTTTATGACTATTTAAAAATATAAAAACAAATAAAAAAAAAAAACATATTTGTCAAAACACCAACAATTAATGAGTTTAGGAAATTAAACTTTTATGAAACATTGTTCCAGTACGTCAACAACAGATAAAAGTCATTCACCTCAAAGTCTGGTCTTTAATTTGTTTAATTATAAAGCATCATTTTATTTTATTACTATTTAAAAATATAAAAACAAATAAAAAAAAACATATTTGTTATATACTTTTCAATAATTAAAACCCTGTGTAACGTATTTATTATCAAATCAATTTAATAAAATGTTTTGTTTAATTTTAACTAAACTATTTTAGTAAATTTTTTTCTTTCTTCTCTTTGCTTTTTTCTTAAACTTAAAAAAAACTATTTGCTGCAACAACGACGAAGGCGGTAAAGTCAAGTGAATTTTTTTACCACGTTTTCATCGAGACATACTCTAACAAAATATTATAATTTTCAGAGAAGTCACGAGTATTCGCTGATTATTCGGTATTTGGTCTGTTCGGCTACTTTTTTACCATTCGGTATTCGGACAAATATTGCAAACTATTCGGCCGAATAGTTTGAAATATTTGTAACAAAAAAAAAACCGCTTAAAAAAAATTTACATATTTTTAAAAAAAATTTTATTATATATAATATACGACACTTAATTGAGTTCATACTCATTTAAGAATCGTGGGCCCTATTTATGGAATTTATTTTCAGATATTACAAATAAAAAGAAAACCACTCTTGATCGATTTAAAAAAGAATCTAAACGGTTGTTCTTATTTATGGATCTCACTATGCTAGATTTTAAATGTTTTTTTTTAAATAAAGTAAAGCTTTAAATAAAAAATCAAGATAACTTTAAAAAAAAAAAAATTATTTTAAAAGAATGTTATTATCACAACCCACAATAACAAAGTTTATTAATGATATTACTCTTTATTTAAAACTGACTTTCTGAGGTCCCATTTCTGAAGTCTCTTTACCTTAAAGCATTCTGAAGTCTTTATATAGTTAACCAAGCGATTGATTTTAAACAGAATACCGATTATTCTTTAATGTTGTATTTTTTATTCATTTTATACAATAATTGTATAATTGTATAATTTTATTTAACACCTTTAGGTAAAATAAAAAAAAATTTTTCTGGGATATAAGTTTTACTTTTTTATTTAAATGAAAACACATAGTATTGTTGCTTTATTCTAAAATTATTTTTTTTTGAGTTGAAAACGTTTCAATATTTAATTAAACATATACGTAATTGACAAACGATTGTAACTTATTGTATATAACATGTTATTTTACAACAAATATTTTTAAATTTCATTTATTATATTTGTAAAAATTTTAATGAAGTATTTTAGTAGTCAAAATTTTAATAATTTTTTAAGCTAAAATTGGAGGAATATGTTTTACCGCTTTTTACATCCATTTAAAACAATCATGACATTTAAAACACCGCGACAATCAATTAAAACAATGTGATTTTCAATTAAAACAATCGTGATTTTTATTAATTTTATTACATTTAACGCATGCGAAATCTCAACATTCTATATTATTTTTTAAAAAAAAGGTCTTTTTTTTATATATATTTATTTATCTTATATTATCGTATATTTATTTATCTTATATTATATAAATTTATTAATTTATTTTAATTTAATGGAATTTATTTTAAATTTGAATGGATGTCACGTTTGTTTTAAATGGATGCAAAACCATATTTTTTTACATACTTTTTATAACCAAACTGTATTGGCAAAACAACCATGATGTTCAATTAAAACACGATGCATGATGATAATTAAAACAACCATGATTTCCTATTAAGATCTTTAGCGCATGAGAGATTTTCATTAAAACATGCAGCGAAATTCTGCAGCCGTGTTCTCATCTCTCCGTTAAGCTTAAGGGAGCGTTAGTAGAAAATTTCTTTTTAACTACATTAATAAAAAAAGTTCTTTAAAAAATTTTTTTTAAAAATAAATGTTTTATTTTAGTATTAGTTTTATATTAAAAAATTTAAACAAAGTTTTTGTCATTTCTTCACTTAGAAATATTGTAATGAAATTTCAGACCAAAGTTCCGTTAAGCTTAATGGAGAGATGAGAATACGGCTGCTGTTTGCCAAAATAGGCAAAAATTTCTTTTGAGATTGGTGTTGATAAAAGAAAAATTTAATCTGAAACTTCATTGCCACGAAAAACTCAATCTGAATCTTCATGCCGCGAAATTCCGTTTCCCAAAACATGCGAGATCTTGTTGTAAATTGCGAGATCTTGTTGTAAATGCGAGATCTTGTTGTAAAAGTCGTTGATCAAGGAAAAACTCAATCTGAAGCTTCATCGTTAACAGGAGTTAATCGAAACACAGTACAATCAATTTTAAGAAGGTACGATCGAACGAAGCTGTTGAGATGAGGGCTCAGAACATTCAAATAAAATATTTGCCACCATATTCACTATTCTTGAATCCGTGTGAAGAGATTTTTTTTTATCTTAAGAATAACGTGCGAAGAAATACGGCCCCAGCTGGAAGAAATGAACTAATTTCAAGAATGCGTGAGGCATGCTTATCTATTCCAAATGTTAACTTATCAAACTATTACACACACCGTGAAAGCTTTTTCGAAGCGTGTCTTAGGTCAGATGACATACCTCGACAGTAATCGAAAAATAAACTTATTTTAAATAAAATAAATTTTTTTTTTTTTTTTTTTTTTTTTTAATGTTGATTTAGGTGCCCCAAGAAGTCCTTACGGTCTTATCACAGAGCACCGCGGAAGAGCATTTAATAGGAAGTTCACGTCTCCTTCCCAACCGATGTCGCAAAGCCATTGTCCTGAGGTCCAAAGCTTGTCCAGAGCTTGTCCAGAGGTGGGGTTTGAACCGCGGATCTTACGTTTCTGAAACAAGTGCGCTACCACTGCGCCACGGCTGCTCTATAAAATTTAAAATTTATTTAAAAAATCTAAAAATCTATTAAATAAAAAAAATATAAAGAAAACCTTTTTTTTTAAATAATATAGAACATTGAGAGAACTATTATTCTTTTGGCTCTATTAGATAACGATTTGTCATTTACTTAATAATTTTTTACTAAAAAAGAACTATAATGATATGAAATTCCCTGTCGAAACATCGACCTGTTGAAACATCGAAATGGAAAATATTGCCAGAGTAAAAGTGGTGAAAATTGAGCTCAAGCACTGAAGTAATTTGTTTTTTAAATTTAACCTAATAGCATAAAAGAAGTGATCGACGAAAACAAGAAATACGCCAAACTTCCGTTTATACTAGTTCAATGCCGAAACCGAAACCGACCTTTTGGCAAACATTTTACCGAAAATAAAACGGATTTAAAAAAATTAATTTATTCGGAAAATGTTATCTAAAAGTGCAATTTTACATTTTTTGTTAACTTAGATTTTTGTTGTTGTTGTTGTTGTTGTTGTTGTTGTTGTTGTTGTTGTTGTTGTTGTTGTTGTTGTTGTTGTTGTTGTTGTTGTTTATTTTTGACGGCTTCTTTCTATTTTATGTAATAAAAATAAATTAATAATCATAAATAAACAATAAGAAAAATAAATTACTCATGGAAAATCTTAAAGAATAGCTAAAAGCCACGAAATATTAATAGAAAATTCGGTTGAAACCAATCTTCGGTCGATCACTACATAAAAGTCAAAAATCGTATTTTTTTCCATTCAAAACACAAAACACGAAACATTATTTTGTTTCACATTCCGTTTTCACTAAATGTAAGAATAAACATAATTTTTTTTTTCTAAATCTAATTGAAAAGCATCATTTCCAAAAATACACAAAGTTTCACAAATTCTTTTATAGGAATAACTTAAAAGTCAGTTATAGTCTTTCTAACATCCTCAATATTATTATTTCCCACAATAAAAAATTGTATCTAATATTTCTAATGTAATTGTTCCAACGTGTGACGTTTTTCTTTAGTGACTGAACAAGTAGGAAATTCTCAAATAAGTAGGATATTCTTAAGTCAAATTAAACACATCCTTAAAAACTGCTAAATCGTGCTTCAATAACGAGATGTTTTATAAAGTAACTGGTGCTTCAATAAATAAATAAAAATTGCTTTTAAGGTACCAAGGACAGCTCATCAAAGATTTAAATAAACAAGCTTTTTGAACCATCTTTTTCTCCATTTTATTCATAATGTTTGAGATGTCCACAAAGATAACAGCATAGAAATGATAAAGATTCTTGAAGTCTTCACTTTTGAAAACATTTTTATTTAGTTTTTATTTTTAGTTGCATTTTAGATTTATTTAATTTTAAAGCTGCTTTGACTAAATTTTAAGTAATTGATTCAAACTTTAAATCAGTTCAGACAACCCAATGTAGTGTTAATTTTGTCAATAATTTTTGACCAAACTTTCATGTCACAGCAGTTTAGAGCCACGTCTCTTTAGCAGTGCCTAAGCTTATTAACTATGGTGACTAATGTCTGCATTCTATCAAAATTATTATTAAGTTGTATTAAAAATATTTTAAAATTTTTAAAAGTAAAAATATTGTAGGGTATTCTTGACACTGGGATGCTAATGCTATGGAAGCTCATTTATTAAACATTTTAGGTAGATATAAGATGAATATATAGGTTATGGATATGCATATAGGTTGTTTTGTACTTTTTAAGATGTATTTTGTATTTACTTTATAAAAAAATAAGTACAAATTTTGCTAATGACTAACACTCCCTCTTTTATTATCACAGGTATATTAAAACTAGTAGAAATTCATTTATTATCACAGGTATTTTAAAACTAGTAGAGATTCAAAAAGAATGACAGAAATAGACTACTTTCAAAGTTTCCAGTTTTTAGAACAAGATCTTAAACTTGTCTTATTTCAATAATTTTATTATGATCATTCAATTTACATATAAAGATAGCGTTTTAGATTTATTTATTATTTTTCGTTTTAGATTTATAATTATTTACATATAAAGATAGAAAGATATAGGGTCTTATATAAGTTATGACTCATATATAGTGTATCAGATATAATCATATAAATAAAGGTTAAATATAATTTAAAATTTTAAATACAATTATTGTAAAAAGTGAATAAAAAATACAACATTAAAGAATAATCGGTATTCTGTTTAAAATCAATCGTTTGGTTAACTATATAAATTATTAATAAACATTAATTTTGAGCAAAAATAAAAACGGAATAAGAACGGTTTTAAATTTAAAGTTATTAATTAAAACCAAAAACTTCGAATAAATTTTTTGTTATCAAAATTCAAAAACTACTTTAACGTCATCTGATAATTGTAAGTCTTTAATTCATAATTTCTTAATGGTCCTTTTTTATTTTATAATAAAATAACACACTCTAAAATGTTTTTAGGCGTGTCAAACATTTGTGTTTTTTTTCGATAAAATATCTTTATTTTGATATTTTTTGAAATAAAGAAAATTCCAGGTTTCTTAATAAAATGAATAAAATAAAAATAAAATGAAAAGTATAAAAAATAATAATAAAAATAAAAAAAATAAAAGTGAATTAGTATGTTCTTAATATTATTTATTTTGATTTATTTGCATTGAGGAATACAAAATGATAAAACAGTTTAATTCAATGTTTTACTTTTTAAAATTTGTTTTGAACAAAGGAAAGAAGAATAGGTTAACGATACTACGACTGTTAAACTGTAATGATATAATATTCCCTGTCGATGTTTCCACAGGTCGATGTTTCCACAGGGAATTTCATACCATTGGAGTTCTTTTTTAGTAAAAAATCATTGCTTATATATATTAAAGTAATTATTACAGCTGTTGAGTAATAAAACAAATATATTAGAAAAGATAAGCCAAAAACTTTGAGGATAGTTTTGTGGTTATCACAAGAGCACACTTTATTCAACGGCATTCAAGGCATTTAAAATTATAAATCTTAAAGAATAAGCTTTAATAGGGATACAGCATCTTTTACCAGTAATTTTTATGAAGTTACTTTGAAACCTTAAAACTCTATGTATATCTTTAAAATATCAAAACCTCTATGATAATGCTACCCTCTTAAAAAAAAACTATTTAAACCAATATACTTCTATTGTCCTTCTTAAAGCAGTACCCAGCCGGCAAATACCGGCTGGGTAGTTACCCTTATTACAATTCTAAACATTAATTAATTTAAACTTCTAATTCACTAAACCATAGTAATAATTATAATGAAAAAAAAAAATAAATTTATCAAAAATATTACTACTTTTATATTATAATATTGAGATGATACACACTCTTATACATACATACATACATACATACATACATACATACATACATACATACATACATACATACATACATACATACATACATACATACATACATACATACATACATACATACATACATACATACATACATACATACATACATACATACACTACATATATTAAAATACACGACTAGCCGACAAAATGAGTGAAAAAACCAACTACAGTCAACTCTCCTATTACGCGGTATTTCTACAACGCGAATCTCCATACAGCGCGGAGTGAAAGTTGAAACCGCTCACCTATAACGCGATATGATCTCCATATAACGCGATTTTCGTAAGAACTTTGTAACTCGTTATTTATGCGAAAAAAAACAACAACTGACAACAAATCAAATGACTTGAAAGAAATCTATGACAATACTTATTTGACGTTTTGCCTGTATGCATTTAGAGGGTATTTCCCTTTTTCTTAATTTGAATTACGTATTAAACAATTAAAAAAACTATTCCTTTTAATTTGGTTTGTGCTTAAATGTGTTAAGTGACAGAATTTATAATAAATTGTTTTGTCTTAGAATTTATAATAAATTGTTTTGTCTTATTAAAATTAAGTTACTGGAGATTATATAAATACACTGGTAAAATATTTTATTTTCTACAGTATTAAGGTAAAAAAAAATTTTTTTATAGGTTAGTAAAATGACTGAAATAATCAAAGGGAGAAAATATATGAAAAGAAAATCTATAACTCTTATGGAGAAAACTGCAATTTTAGATCGATTAAAGAATGGAGAGAAAGTGTTTTCTGTTGCGAAATCGTTAAATTTGAATGAATCTACAATTCGGACTTTAAAGAAAAATGAAGTAAAAATAAGAAAAACTGTCGCAAATAGTTGCCCATCAGGTGCGAAGCGTGCAACTCGTATACGTAATGCTATTATGATAAAAATGGAACGAGCATTAATGATATGGTTAGAAGACTGTGTCTCCAAAAAGATACCTGTGTGTGGAAATCTTATTAAGCGTAAAGCACTTAAAATTTATGAGCATTTTAAAGGAACAGACAACTTTTCTCTCCAGCAACACAATCACTCATTTACTGCAAGTGCAGGATGGCTTGACAAGCTAAAAAAAAGGTATTCCTTGCACAATATTAAATTTCAAGGAGAGCAGGCTTCAGCCGATGTCAAAGCAGCCGAAAAATTTAAAACGGACCTCCCAGAAATTATCGATAAAGAGGGATATGTAGCAGATCAGATTTTTAATGCGGACGAGACAGGATTGTATTGGAAGAAACTTCCTTCTCGAACCCACATTTCAATAAATGAAAAGAAAGCATCTGGGTTTAAATCTTCTAAACAACGTATAACCATACACAAATGTAGCAATTTATCAGGAAGTTTATTGATAAAACCAATGATCATAAATAATTTTTTAAATCCTCGAGCTTTCAAAAATGTTAATATGTCTGAGTTACCTGTATTTTGGCGAGCGAATAAAAAAGCGTGGATGACTCGAGAATTATTTAAGGATTGGTTTTATAACTGTTTTGTCCCTCAAGTAGAAAGCTTTATGGTTGAAAAAAACCTTAGTTTCAGAGTTTTGTTAATCCTTGATAACGCCAGTAGTCATAGTGCAGAGATAAATCACCCAAATGTGAAAGTTCTTTATTTTCCTCCCAACTGCACTTCATTAATACAACCCTTGGACCAAGGAATCATCCAAACTTTCAAAATGTATTACATACAAATTTTTTTTGAAGTTATTTTCAGCAGATTAGAAGATCAAGAATGGAAAACTCTACTTGAAGTTTGGAAAGAATTTTCTATTTTAGACTGCACTCGAATTGTTTCATTAGCTTGTACAGAAATTAAACAATCAACACTTAATGCATGTTGGAGGCCTTTGTTACCTCAAATAGTTAAAAAAGAAGATAATATCTCAGAGACAGTAAAAGAAATAACACGGATTGTTTCTAGTTTTGGCAAGGAAGGATTTGCAGATATACAAGTGCAAGATATAGAACAACTACTTCAAGAACGAAGTTTAAATGAAGAAGAATTAGCAGAGTTAATTGATGAGTCTACATCTGAAACATTTGTGGAAGAAGACACTAATAACAAATCTGCTTTAAACTTCACTTATGATTTAAAAAAAGGACTCGATTTGGCTGAAGAATTAGAATTCCAGTTGACCCAAAATGATCCTTCAACAATACGCAGTGAAAAATTTAAAAGAGAATTTCAAAATTGCTTAGCTCCATACAAAGAGGTTTTGAAAGAACTACAAAATAAAATTACTTTTGAAAACCAAGGAGAAAATTTTCAAAGTGAAGAGGATTATCAACTAATTAGAGTAAAGAAAAGAAGACGGATTGGACATCTAATATTTGACAGCGATGACGAATAAGAACAGAATTTACAATGCATCATTTTAGTTTTTTGTTGGAAACAATTTTTTTTTAAGTTCAGTT